AGTTTGTGCCCACTGCCCATTGTCCTGTCACTGGGGACAATTGCAAAGAACCTCAACAAGTTGGGCAGAGAAGTTATGGAAGCCCCATCCTTGGAGGTGTCCAAGGGCAGGTTGGATGGGGCTTGGAGCCACCTGGGCTGGTGGGAGGTGTCCCTGTCCATGCAGGGGGTTGCATCTAGATGGTCTTTAGATCATGGAATGGTCTGAGTTGGAAAAAACCTTAAAGATAACCTAGATGATCCACTAGATGATTTTCAAGGTGGCTGCCCCATCCCTGGAAGTGTTGAAAGGCAGGTTGGATGGGGCCTGGAGCAACCTGTTCTGATGGGAGGTGTCCCTGCCCATGCAGGGCGTTGGATCTAGATGATCTTGAAGGTCCCTTCCCACCCAAACCTTTCCATGATCCCATGATCTTCCTGACATTCCCCCTTTAAGATATTCACAGCCATCAATGAGGTCTCCCCACTAAGTCTTCTCTCCAGGTTGGTAAGTCCCAGGTCCCTCAACCTTTCCTCACAGATGCTCCAACCTCCCCAGTCATCTTCATTACCCCCCAAAGACTCTTTCCACCAGTTCCCAGTCTCTCTTGAACTGGAAACAGTTCAAGAAGAGCCCAGAACTGGACCCAGTTCTCCAGCTTCACCAGGGCAGAGTAAAAGAGGAGTATGAACCTCCTGGACCTACTGGCCACGCTCCTCCTAACGCATCCCAGGATTCCATGGGCCTTCTTGGCCACCAGGGCACAACATTGTCTCACTGGTAATTCATTGTCTACCAGGACTCCAAGGTCCTTCTCCTCAGAGCTGCTTCCCAGCCCCAACTTGTCCTGATCCATGAAGTTGTTCCACCCCAGCCTGTCCTGACCCATGAGGTTGTTCCACCCCAACTTGACCTGATCAATCCATGGGGTTATTCCACCCCAGCCTGTCCTGATCCATGAGGTTGTTCCATCTCAACCCATCCTGATCCATGGGGCTGTTCCACCCAGGTGCAGAACCTTCCATTGCCTCTTGTTCAGTCTCCTTCAGTTCCTTTCTGCCCAACTCTCCAGCCTGTCCAGGTCACCCTGGGTGGCAGCAGAGCCCTCTGGTGTCCTCACCTTGTTGTAGATGTAGCAGTTGGTGAACATGGTGTTGAAGTCCTGCATGCACTCAGCAGCCCCCCAGTAATAGTTGTTCTCCAAACGCCTCTTGATCGTCCCCATGTCCATGGGCTGCTTGATGATCTTGTGGTAGTCCTGGGGACAAGGGACACATGGTCAGGGACACTTGGGTGACAGCACCATGTCCCCTCTCCCTCACACACCAGCTCTCACTCATCACCCAGGTGCAGGCAGGGGGCAATTTGGGGTTAAAAAATGACAATCAAGTCACCTCTGGACCTGGTCCCCACCCGAGAGTGTCACCATCCCTGTCACCCAGGGATGAGGGGGTCCCTAGAGGCCTGGGGAACCTACCCTATGGGTGGGGACAGCCAGAACTTGGTGTCCAGAGGGGTGTGAGCCCCACACATGGGGGGAGTGGGGGCTCTAGAGAGGGGGAAAAAATTAAGGCTCAATTTGATTGGATTAATTGGTTTTAGAAATAAAACCTACGTGGAAATTACCTCCGGGCTTTAACTCCTTGGGCGCCACAGGTGCACGGGGGGGTGGCCTGTAAAATGGGGGTCACAGGATGTCTTCTACAAACTGATGGATGGATGGGAATCTGCAAAACGCATTCAGGGGACAAGAGAGGAGGGGGGGGTTGGGGGAAACGTCCAGGTTTTATCTCCAGAGCTGCTGCCTCACCTCATCCATACCTCTGTAGGGGACATGGGGACAAGAGGAGGGGTGGCAGCTGCTCTGAGGACGCCCCCAGGACCAGCCCAGACACCTACAAAGGGCTGGGAGGGACAATATGAGTGAGACCCCCAGGAAGGGGTGTGAGGACAGCCCAGCTCGGGCACCTGCATCTCTGTGGTGGGAGCACCCAGGAGGGGGGATGGCACCAACCCTAGCAACTCTCAGGCTGGGGACAAAGAAGGGACACGTCACATCTGGGGTCAGGCAGGACAGAATGGGAGTGACTTTTCTGCCTGACACCCCCTGCCTGCACGTGCTGGGGTGGGGAGGGGGGGACACACCCAGACACACTCCCCACACCTGTGACACCCCCCCCTTTACCCTCCCTCTCCCCAGCCCCACGGGGTCTTTACCGGCAGCCCCAGTTTGACGGCGTCCACGGGCTGACGGAAGGGCCAAGCAAACTGGTGCTTCCACAGGGCCTTCATCACCACCTTGTGCAGGTACTGGAGCTGGTTGGTGACCCGACCTGGTTTCTTAGGGTTGGAAACCTCTGGGGGAGGTGGGTTCACCTGGGGGGACTGCAGGGCCGGCACCGAGGCCATGGTGGGGCTCTCGAAGCCCTCGTAGAGCAACGAGGGTTTGCGGATCCGTTTGCCGGGGGTGGATTCCGTTGCCAAACCCATGAGCCCGGCATTGCCCTCCCCCAGAATCCTGGAAAAAGGGGAGGAGAGAGACACGGATCAACCCGGGAGCTCCACCTGGACCGAAAATAAAACAAACCACCGGGGAGCTTTGGGGTTCCCAGGAGGAACCTCCTCCAGGAGAAGAACCGATCGCTCCCGCCGCCGCCACCACCTTGGGTGGAAACGACCCGAATTCCCGGGATTTAAAACCTCTGGGATGTTGTGGGAGGTTTCCCAGGGTGGTTTCCCAAGGGAATGTGGCTGTGGAGAAAGGCCGGTACCGGGAGCTTTGCCCGCGCCGGCGCAGGCGGGAGGTTGGCAGAGCTCCAGGTTCACCCTGGAACAAAGAACTGGCGCGTCCAGGGGACAGGGACACTCGGTGGTGTCACCTCTTCCCACGGGAAATCCAGGAGGGAAGGATTTAGGGACCCCCCCGTGTGGTTAAAATTGGGGGTCATGGGTGCCTCAATGAGAGCGCCTGGTCACGGTGACACAAGAAGCAGTGGGAACAGGGCAGGACACACACACCGGGCCAGGGAGGTGGCACCGCTGTCACCGGGTCACGCTCGGTTTTAGGGCAAAACCCAACGTTTTCGGGCAACCAGCAGCACTTGACGACACCACCCGCCAGGCGAGAGGCACCCCGAGGGCACCGACGTGTCCCCAGAGAGGGAATATTTGTCACCAAGCAAAGCAAAAGCACCACGGGGGACACACACACACACCGGGGACCCCCCGACATCTCGGGAGGTTCCCTGAGCGCGGCTGAAACCAGCCCTGAAACCCCCCTGGGTCTGAGCACGGGTGGGGAGGGAAAACCTTCCCCCCCCGCCCTGAGCTGCCCCACAGGGGGCCCCTCACCCACGGGGGGGCTGTCTCCCTTGGGAGACCCTCACCCACAGGG